TTTAATATGAAAGCATTCCAAATAAGTATGTATGTTAAAAAAAGAAGTAAAAAGAACAAATTACATTTTGGTGCAATCACAGGTGTTTTTGTGGTAAGTATTGGTCTGTGGACATGTTATTAAATGAATACTTTGTAAACAGTATAAATTTGTTATCTATCACTATGACACATTTCATGTGTTAAATATATTCATATAGTATATTGCCAAAAGTATTGGGACACAGCTCCAAATCATTGGATTCAGGTGTTCCAATCACCTCCATGGCCACAAGTGTATAAAATCAAGCACCTAGGCATGCAGACTGCTTCTACAAACATTTTTGAAAAAAATGAGCTGCTCTCAGGAGTTCAATTAATTCAAGCATGGTACCGTGATAGGTTGCTACCTGTGCAATAAGTTCATCAGTGATATTTCCTGGCTACTAAATATTCCACAGTCAACTGTTAGTGGTAATATAACAAAGTGGAAGCAACTGGGAACAACAGCAACTCAGCCACAAAATGGTAGGTCACATAAAATGAAAGAGCGGGGTCAGCTAAAGACCTCTAAACTTCATGTGGTCTTCAGATTAGCACAACAGTGCATAGAGAGCTTCATGGAATGGGTTTCCATAGCCGAGCAGCTGCATCCAAGCCTTACATCACCAAGTGCAATGCAAAGCATGAGATGCAGTGGTGTAAAGCATGCCACCACACCTAAACCCTAGAGCAGTGGAGACGTGTTTTCTGGAGTGATGAATAACACTTCTCTTTCTGGAAATCTGATAGACGTGTCTGGCTTTGGCGGTTGCCAAGAGAATAGTACTTGCCTGACTGCATTGTGCCAAGTGTAATGTTTGGTGAAGGGGGATTATGGTGTAGGGGTTGTTTTTCAGGGGTTGGGCTTGGCCCTTTAGTTACAGTGAAGGGGACTCTTGAGGCATCAGCATACAAGGCATTTTGGACAATTTCATGCTCCTACCTTTGTGGGAACAGTTTGGGGATGGCCCCTTCCTGTCCTAACATGACTGCAAACCAGTGCACTAAGCAAGGTCCATAAAGACATGGATGAGCGAGACTGGGGTGGAGGAACTTGACTGGCCTGCACAGAGTCCTGACTTCAACCCAACTGAACACCTTTGGGATGAATTAGAGTGGAGCCTGCGAGCCAGGCCTTCTTGTACGACATCAGTGCCTGACCTCAAAAATTTGCTTCTGGAAGAATGATCAAACACTCCCAAAGACACACTCCTAAACCTTGTGAACAGCCTTTCCAGAAGAGTAAAATATATAGAAGCAAGCACTAAAAAATATATATATATAAGCCTTTCCAGAAAAGTTGAAGCTGTTAAAAGCTGCAAAGGGTGGGCTAACTATATATTGAATAATTTCTTTGCCACGCTAGTTGAAACAGTAAGCCCAAGAAACACCAGTGAGCTAGCGAGTCCCCCCCTCCCGCCACTTATGAAAGCGATCCAGTGGTTAATGAGTATCTCTAACCACTTTCATTAAAAAGCCAGCTGCCAGTTGAAAAAAAAGATAACAGGGTTACGGCTGATAGCTTTAGCCATAACCCTAATAAACCATTTGTAAACCTCAACATATATGTAAGTATTGAGGTTGGCAAGTGGATATACAGTTGCAAGAAAAAGTATGTGAACCCCTTGGGATTACGTGGAGTTTTGCATGAATTGGGCATAAAATGTGCTCTGAACGTCATCTAAGTCACAACAATAGAAGAACACAGTCTGCTGAACATAATACTACACAAACATTAGATGTTGCCATGGTTTAATTGCACATAACATGTAAACATTCACAGTGCAGGGAGGAAAAAGTATGTGAACCTTTGGACTTAATAACTGGTTGACCCTCCTTTGGCAGCAATAACCTCAACCAAACATTTCCTGTAGTTGCAGATCAGACCTGCACAACGATCTGGAGTAATTTTGGACCACTCCTCTTCACAAAAACTGTTTCAGTGTAGCAATATTCTTGGGATGTCTGGTGTGAATCACTCTCTTAAGGTCATGCCACAGCATTTCAATCGGGTTGAGGTCAGGACTCTGACTGGGCCACTCCAGAAGGCGTATTCTGTGCTGTTGCAGCCATTGTGTTTTGTTGAATTACTTGTATGCTTTGGGTCATTGTCCTGTTGCATCACCCATCCTCTGCGGAGCTTCAGTTGGCGGACAGATGGTCATACGTTTTCCTGCAAAATGTCTTGATAAACTCTGGAATTCATTTTCCCATCAATGACAACAATCCGTCCAGGCCCTGAGGCAGCAAAGCAGCCCAAAACCATGATGCTCCCTCCGCCATGTTTTACAGTGGGGATGAGGTTTTGATGTTGGTGTGCTGTGCCTTTTTTTCTCCACACATAGTGTTGTTGTGTGTTCTTCCCAAACAACTCAATCTTGGTTTCATCTGTCCACAGTATATTTTGCCAGTAGTGCTGTGGAACATCCAGGTGCTCTTTTGCAAACTTCAAACGTGCTGCAATATTCTTTTTGGACAGCAATGGCTTCCTCCGTGGTGTCCTCCCATGTACTCCATTCTTGTTTAATGTTTTCCTTATTGTAGATGTGTCAACAAAAATGTTAGCATGTTGCCAGAGATTTCTGTAGGTCTTTAGCTGACACTCTGAGATTCTTCTTTACCTCATGCAGCATTCTGCGCTGTGCTCTTGCAGTCATTTTTACAGGACGACCAGGCCTAGGGAAAGTAGCAACAGTGCTAAACTTTCTCCATTTGTAGACAATCTGTCTTACCATGGACACATGAACATCAAGGCTTTTGGAGATACTTTTGTAACCCTTTCCAGCTTCATGCAAGTCAACAATTCTTGATCGTAGGTCTTCTGAGAGCTCTTTTTTCTGCGAGGCATGGTTCACATCAGACAGTGCTTCTTGAAACCAGTAAACCCAAAACAGGTGTGTGTTTTTTAAGGGCAGGACAGCTGTCAGCAACACATCCAATATCATCACACTGATTGGAGTCAAGGTTGGCTCACTCCTGCCTCCAATTAGCTCTGGGAGAAGTCATTAACCTAGGGCCTCACATACTTTTTCCTCCCTGCACTGTGAATGTTTACATGTTATGTGCAATTAAACCATGGCAACATCTAATGTGTTTGTGTGTAGTATTATGTTCAGCAGACTGTGTTCTTCTATTGTTGTGACTTAGATGACGTTCAGAGCACATTTTATGCCCAATTCATGCAAAATTCCATGTATCCCAAGGGGTTCACATACTTTTTCTTGCAACTGTATATATACTAGATATTTTTTTTTACCCAGAAATTATACAGTATATATTAGAAATGCAAAGTTTGGTTTGAACTGTGAGGACATTTATAATCTTAGCTACTGCAAATCCATCAATATACAACTACAATGCCTGTATTATAACTTATAATGGCCTAGTTTTCAGTGGTTTCTACACCTCTATATTCATAAACCAATTCAATATTTTCACACCCATAAGCTACACTATGTTAGGTGAATACAATCAATTTCCTTCTTCCTCTTCAGTATTTACTGGAAGCCATTACATTAACAATATTGATGTACAAATGTGAACTGTATTATTTTGCTGATATATTGGCACATTCCCTATATCCATTAATTGAAGGGCTGCAGTACCTGGCACAGGAAAGCAATTAGTTGCTACTGCTTAGGCCTCATGTAGTTCTCCCTGAAGAGCCGTGATGTAATTATTTATGTAATTATGCTCTTCATGAAGCACTTGTCTTTCTCAATTTTTGCTTGGTGGGGCCTTCCTTTTTTATGAAAAGGACTTTCAGACTGTTAAATCGCTGAAATTTCAAATAAGAAACAAACATATGATTAGGCTTAACTTTTTTATTTATATATGTATGCAATATTTTTGTGCCAAAAATATCTAACTCAAATATGTCTAACTGAAAATGTCTAACTTATATGTCTTTCTGGACAAAAACATGCTTGAATTTGCAAGTGGCACACAAATATTCTTATTTTCCTTTTCCAGAATGTTCTAGGAATCAGGGAGTGTCCTTACGTTTTACAACTGACACTTTTCACAGATTATTCTAAAGTATCTTTTTGAGCAGGTAAAATTATTGTGAAACTATGAATAGCAATATGGGGACTTTCAATGCTGACCTAAAATGAAAGTCATTATATACCTTTCTGTCAGCACCTTGTGTTTTTCACCTGCATAAGAAGTGCATTGATTATGTACCTGTAGTTTCATTATTATTATTATTATTATACAGTATTTATATAGCGCCAAAGGGTATGCTCAGTGCTGTACAGTAGCAAGGGGGACAGAACATGAGACAAGACAGTAACAATACACTACACGAGGGGTTCGAGGGCCCTGCTCTTTTGAGCTTACAATCTAGGAGGGAGGGGAAGGTGGCACAGGAGGAGATGGCTGTGGGGGATGGAGTGGTGGGAGGAGTGGAGGAGGTTAGTTGTTAGATGAGTCGGGTGTTAGGTGAGGTTGGGGTAGGCTTCCCTGAAGAGGAGGATTTTCAGGGTGCGCCTGAAGATGAGGAGGGTAGGTGACAGTCTGATGGATTGTGGTAGGGAGTTCCAGAGGATGGGTGAAGTCCTGGAGAAGTCCTGCAATCGGGCGTGGGAGGAGGAGACTAGGGAGCTAGAGAGCAGGAGGTCCTGTGAGGAGTGGAGGGCACGGGTAGGGTAGTATCTGGGTATCAGGTCAGTTATATGTAGTTTGGGGCGGCATTGTGAATGGCCTTGTAGGTCAGGGGTTAGCAGCTTGAACTTGATGCGTTGGGCAATCGGGAGCCAATGAAGGGATTGGTAGAGGGGGGAGGCAGATGTGGAGCGCTTGGTGAGGTGGATGAGTCTGGCCGCTGAGTTTAGGATTGACTGGAGTGGGGATAGCGTTCGTTTGGGTAGGCCAGTGAGAAGGGAATTGCAATTATGTTATTGTTTGTCCTGCACAGAGAGCCTGTAGTAAAGTAAGTATTCACATTGTCATAAGTTTCTGTTTGTTATACGAGGGGTATTCAAAAAGTTTCCACACTTTTATATACAGTATATAATAGAGTTTGAAAAAGTGCGGAATATTTTCAACCCTCATAGAAACAAGACACATGGCATTGCACACGTTTATGCATGACAGTTGTCTGTAGTGTTAGGCCCAGGGGCAGACTGACCATTCAAGCACTCGGGAACTGCCCGAGGGCCCAGGGTCAGTAGGGGGCCCCATGAGATGCCCCTGGTACCTTTCATAGGCTTTTTTGGGTGTAGTTTGAGTGTGGGCAAGGACACAGGGGCCCCATGATCCTCTATTGCCCGGGGGCCCCATGAGTTGTCAGTCTGCCCCTGGTTAGGCCTGATGCTACTTGTGAAGAAATTACATATCCCACTTTCCCTGAGTCTGTCAGTCTAGTGCTCTGCAGGTTGAAAGCTACACCGTAATTATATCTGAAACAGACACAGATAGGCAGAACAATAAACGGGAGCTTATCATGCTGGAAGAGATGTGTTCCATCATATTAGCATTCCCATGTCTGTAAATCAACACAAAGGGAATGATGAGGCATGCACTGGATGCAGTGTGACCCACAGCAAGACGTTGAATGTCTCTTTAGTGAATAGGGGACAAGGTAACTGCAGCAATACATGGACATGGGGCAATCAATAGGCCATGACACTACAAACTGACATATAAACCCACCATTAAAATATAAGGCAAACAAACAACCAACACAGAGAATATAAATACACTAACACCTAAGTAAAAAAACAAAAAATATAAGAGCCAACAATGCCTTTACAGCTGAAGATTTCAGAGATGTCAACTTGATCCTGGCCTCACTGGATCCAACGTGTCATGTCATTATGAATAAAAACAGTAATTGCCTGGAGAAGATGAGGAGGGCTGACATCACAGTGGTAAGATAGAATTCAATGGCAGGAGGGGGGAATAATACAGAAGAAAAACTTGGAATGTAGGCAGGCTCTTGATGTTACCACATACAATGTAGGACAAGCTGTGGCCACTGGCTTTGCATTATAAGTAATGCTGTCAACAAGGCAACAGCGACATGATCAAAGAGGAAAGGCTCTGGAGAGATTTGTCACCACTACTAGACCCAGTTAGGAGAGAGATTGCTATACCATATAGTAATAAAAATGATACTCTAATTTTTTTATTTTTTTTTTTTTGGTGAGGCAGCATGGAGTTCCGACGTAATCATTCTTGTATCAGCTCCCACTTCGACATGAGTCGAAGCCAGGGGCGGACTGACCATTTGGAAACTCGGGCACTGCCCGAGGGCCCTGGGTCAGTAGGGGTTACAATGAGATGCCCCTAGTACCTTTTTCATAGGCTTTTTTGAGTTTGGGCAAGGACACAGGGGCCCCATGATCCCGAATTGCCTGGGGGCCCCATGAGTTGTCAGTCCGACCCTGGTCATAGCTATAGTAAAATAAATAAATTGTTCAAAGTGACCTGTAAAGTAAAATGGAGGCAGGCAATCCTAGTCTGACTGGCACTAAAGCAGCTTATACATGAATCAGTTTTTTGAATTGCTGGTTAACCACTTACATACCGGGCACTTTTACCCCCTTCCTGCCCAGGACAGTTTTCAGGTTTCAGCCCTCTCACACTTTGAATGACAATTACGCGGTCATACAACATTGTACCCAAACTAAAATTTTATCATTTTCTTCACACAACTAGAGCTTTCTTTTGGTGGTATTTAATCACCGCTGGGGTTTTTATTTTTTGCTAAATTAACAAAAAAAAGACCGAAAATTAAAAAAAAACCATGTTTTTCTTTGTTTCTGTTATAAAAGTTTGCAAATAAATAATTGTTCTTCATAAATTTAGGCCAAGATGTATTCTGCTACATGTCTTTGGTGAAAATAACCCAAATTAGGATGTATTATTTAGTTTGTAGGAAAGTTATAGAGTTCACAAACTATGGTATAGATCTGAATATTGATCAATCCTGAAGTACTGACAGCCAATCTAAATTCTTGAGGTCCAAGAATGTCAGAACAGTACAGATTTCCCCCAAATGACCCCTTTTTGCAAAGTAGACAGTCCGACGTACTTCATAAGAGGAATGGCGAGTTTTTTGAAGTTGTATTTTTTTTGTCATAATTTTTCGGAAAATGAAAAAATTAAAAAAAATTATTTTCACTATTTTTTTTTTACATACTGTCACCAGTGCAGTACAGCATCAAATAACTGTCATGGCGGTGATCAGGGACACTGACTGGTGACTGTATGAAAAAAAAAAAAAAATTTAATTTAACTTAATTTGTTTTATTATTTTTAATTATTTATTAAATATTTTTTCTTTTTTTAAGATTTTTTTTCCATATTTGGCTATGACCAAAGTAGTACAATGTTACCGTAGTAACATTGTACTACTTTGGGGAAGTGATTAGTATTTTTTTTTTTCTACACAATTTGCTTATAGCAAAGAATTACTTTGCTATAAGCAAGCATTTACCTGAATGACATCGATTCATTCAGGGTTTTTTTTTTTTTTGTGCTTAGCTGTGATTTGGCCACAGCTAATCACATGACATGTGCATGTGATCGCTGTGACCATTCACAGTTAGACACTAGTATACAATGGATGGCATGAATGAAGCCATCCATTGTATACAACTGTCATGTGACCTGCTGTGATTGCTTACAGCAGGTCACATGGTACCGGCAACGGGGGCCGGTACTCAGATATGTCATCTGCCGTGTCCGAGGTATACGGCCGGTGACAGATCGCGCCGCTGTGCGGCTCTGCAAGCGCAGCTCTGCAAGCGTGCAAACTGCGCATGCCTGGGAGTACGCCATATGGCGTCCACCCGGAAATCTAAAGCATTTTTCTGGCCGCCAAACGGCTATTGGCCAGGCGGTTAATTGTTAAACAAAAAAACCTGACTCAATTCCCTCATCCACAAATTGGAGGTGGATGGGGGATTCTTCCCTGCTGAGTTATTGTATTCTGACAATGGGGAGACTTCTATACTGCTATAGCCAGCAGCGCTAATTGAGCTGCAAAAATCCAGCAGGGTGGACAACCACCTGTCCTTGCTGAACCAGCCAAAATTTGATCCATGTATAGTCAGCATCATTTTTACTAATGCAGTACAGTTACCTACTCAGCTACTCCAGACTTCAGCTGCAGTAGAACTACAAACTTAGTTTAAGCCTTTGGAACAGCTGTTGACCACTCTGCTTTATTTTGGTTATTATAATGGATAGCATCAAATTTTTTTATTAAAATGTAGAGGCAAGGATTGGGAACCTATCTCCACTATGGGGAATAGTAGCTGACCAGTGTAGCAGCTGCGATAAAGCCACAGCGTGGACACAGATAAGTCGGCTTGAGTGAGGTTCTTAAACACTTCCAGACCGGACACTTTTACCCCCTTCCCGACCAGGGCAATTTTCAGCTTTCAGCGCTATCACACTTTGAATGACAATTGCGCGGTCATGCAACACTGTACCCAAATTAATTTTTTACCATTTTTTTGAGACAGATAAAGCTTTATTTTGGTGGTATTTATTCACTGCTGGGATTTTTTTTATAAAGTTTTTTTTTTATAAAATTTTGCAAATAAATAATATTTAATCATAAATCTTGGCCAAAATTTATTCCGTTATCTTTTTAGTAAAAAAATTCCAAATTAGTATATAACCAAAAATTATAATTTTTAAACATTTTTTTTACATTTTTATTTTATTTTTTATATATTATTATTATTTTTTTTTTTTATTTACTGTCACCCTAGCAGTACAGTGTCACCATGGTGATACTGTACTACTTGTGAGGGTGATGAAGATTTTTTTTTTTTTTACACTGATTGCTTTTATACCCATATAGGATGTAAAAGCAATCATTTCTCTTTCTCTCTGTCTGTATTCTTGCACTCATTGAGAAGTACTGAGTGAGCTGTGATTGGTCACAGCTTGTCACATGGTACAAGGCTGTTGTGAATAGCCTTGTACCATGTGACCTCTGTGATCATTCACAGATTTCACACGTAGTAAGCAATGATGTCAGAAGTGACATCTTGCTTACTACTTTGCATGTGATCACTGATTGGCCAATCAGTGATCACATGATCGGAATCTTGTACAGAGGTCCCGTCCGACGATTGGTGTTTCACTGTGTCCGAAGGACACAGCGGGCACCGGATCGCAGTGCTGCGCACTCCCAGGGAGCGCGCACAAGCAGGCTGTGGGGAGGCCGTTTATAAACGGCCACACGACCCTGCACTGCCACCGTCTGGCCATTTATATACAACGGTCAGACGGGAAATGGTTAAGGAGGGTTGAGACACAGAGTCTAAGGTACCATCTGGTCTTCACAAGAAGTTGTAGAGGTGAAGATGTTGTGCTGCAGGCGATACTCAGGTTTTGGTACTCTGGCTCACCCGAACAGGCGACAACTGAGAGAAGGAAACGTTCCTTGCAGCATTAAGATATTGGATTCACTGGGCAGCAGGTAGCACAATAGTGAGCAACAAGAGTGCACAAGAACACGAAAAGGTACAGAGAAGAAACAGTATGTGAGTGCACAGGTGCTGATAACAAGGAGCTGACTGAAATCTATAGGGAAATACACTGGTGCAGACAAGTAGGAACTGACTGAAATGGAAAAAGGTGAAGGAAGACTGTTTTTTGGCAGGAATGCAAGGGATCACTAGGGTATAAGGAAGACCAGGGAAGACAAGGAACCCAGGGACAGCTTGGACCCACAGGAAGGAGCACATGAGACTGGATGCATACTGGAAAACAAAGACACTGAAAATCCTGGGATACAGAGAAACATGGAACATGGGAGTGAGGACAATCTGGACAGACACTTGGACATGCTGGGATTACTGAGACACACAGGAGCTGGGGACAGGTTTTACAGACACTGGGAACACTAGAAAATATGCAAATGAAAAAAAGAGAGGGACATGTTGTTTGAAAACCGACACACTAGCCCTTTCAGACTCCTCTGTATGTGGCTGGAAGCTGGCAGCTGCACACAGGGGCCAAGACCCCACACTGGAGCATGGAACAGGTAAGTGTGGTATCCAGATGCACCGTCTCAATGAGAACGTTTTTATTGTCAATATTTAGATTTGAATTTGCTTCCTCATAAAACTGGTTATGTTAACCACTTGCCCTCCTGAGGATTTACCCCCCTTAATGACCAGGCCTATTTTTTGCTACTCGGCGCTGCACTAATTCAACTGATAATTGCGCATTCATGCAACACTGCACCCAAACGAAATTTACGTCCTTTTTTTCACACAAATAGAGCTTTCTTTCGGTGGTATTTCATCACCTGTGCGCTTTTTATTTTTCACGCAATAAACAAATAAAAGACCAAAAATTTTGAAGAAAAACAATATTTTTTACTTTCAGCTTTAAAAAATATATAGTAAACTCAAAGTTAGTTATAAATTTAGGCCAAAATGTATTCTGCTCCATGTTTTTGGTAAAAAAAAATCCCAATAAGTGTATATTGATTGCTTTTTGTGAATGTTAGAGCGTCTACAAACTATGGTATAGATACTGCAATTTACACCATTTTTTTTGCTATACAGCACTGTGCTAGTTTAACGGACAATTGCGCGGTCATGCAATACAGTACATAAATGAAATTTTTTCCACACAAATTGAGCTTTCTTTCGGTGGTATTTGATTGCCTGTGCATTTTTTATTTTTTGCGCTATAAAAAAAAAAAGGCTGACAATTTTGAAAAAAAAAACATATTTTGTACTTTTTGCTATAAAACATGTCCAGTAAAAAAAAAAAAATGTAAAAAAATCAAATTTCGTCATAAATTTCGGCCAAAATGCATTCTGTGACATGTCTTTGCTAAAACAAAACCCAATACGTGTAAATTAATTGGTTTACGTGAAAGTTATAGCGTTTACAAATGGCGGGAAAGATACTCGGATTTTTAATTTTTTTTTATACTAATAATGGTGGTTATCAGCGACTTATGGCGGCGATCAGTAACTTATGGCGGCAATCAGCGACTTATGATGGGACTGCAGTGGACATTCTGACAGTGGGGGGGAACTGACTTAGGGTCACTGACATCCCCAGTGACACCAATACAGTGATCAGTGCAAAAAAAAAAACACTGACACTGTACTAATGGCACTGGGGAGGAAGGGATTAACTTTTTTTTGCACTGAAAGGGTTAACTGTGTGAGGGGAGTGTTTTAATAGGGGGCGGGGGTGTGTACTGCAGGGAGACACGCTGATCGGGACACAGAAACTCTTTTCTCCTGGTCAGCTTGTCAGGAACTGTCAGGGAACGGACGGAAAGCAGAGCTACTGCAGCCCCGCTCTCTGTCACTGATTGCCGCTAATCACCGGGACACAGCTGATAATAACCAGCTGTGACCCGGTGACTGACACCTGC